GTACCTCTTTCAGAGTTCCCCAATGCTGCTGGGCCAAATTTTTGGAAAAAAAGGGCTTTTGGGGAAAAGTTTACATAAATTCTCTTTGGGTCTAGTCAACAGACAAAAAGTACTAACAGTGCAGAACTAGTCCAGACCACAAAGGTGGTACTGTACACTAATTAGCATCTATTGTCTTCATCCCTCCACATTGCCTCAGGAAGGAAGATAACACAGAACTGCTATAAGCCACTCCCCTGGAATCCTCATTTGTATGTGTCCAGTTACATGTTTGGTTTAGGTTTATCTTTTTTCAAACTCTGGGGGGAGAAGGGGGAAAAAAACCAGTAAATGTAAACACAAAAACTCAAACCCAGTTAACTTCACAACTGCTCACCCTGCCATACAGAGTATGTAAGAGTGAATGTCCAGTCCTGTCTGCAACACAACAGCATCTGTGGGCCTGTCCTCCTTTTCCAAACTGAAGACTCTGTCCACCAAATGCACGCTGATAGATTTTTCCTTCTTCAGTTCTGCTGAAGGGCATCCCGTAATTTTCCAGCTGTTGAACCCAAATACAAGCATCAGAAACTCTTGTGCATCACAACAAATGAGTTATTTTAAGGAGATCTCCTTGGAAGCCAGCCTGTGTTATTTATAACTACAGCTGACATCAAATCCCATGAGTCTCACCTCTATCACTGCAGCTGGGGCTTGCTCAGTCATGTAGTGTATGGCATCCTGGTCACCCAGCCAGTCCGACCCCTTCACCGTGTCATAGAAATGCCACCTCCAGTTATCATCCTCCATGTTCCCCAGAGCAGCATTGATACCTCCCTGAAAATGAAAACCCATTTTCCTGGAATTATATTACTCAAATACAGCTTTAGTAGGTTTATCACATTTCTATTAAAAATGACATACCAGATATGCACCTGTGTACAAGAACTATAGTCAAGCCAGATTTCATGTGGCTGTGAAACTCCTCAGTTTCACAATGGCTTGTGCTTCTTTTTTCTGTAATGCAGTGAATCACAGTTACACTTCAGGCAGAGAAGCAGCACTGCATTTTGAGAATGTTTAGAAATGGGGAAGAAAAAAGAGGCAGTATACTGAAATAAAAACATAAGGGGAAATAAAGGTTTTAAGAACAACTGCAAGTGAGATTAAAAAAATGTGTGTTGCACCGTAATTAGCTTGGAAGCAAAATGAAGTGTACCTGCTACCTAATATGAAGTCTGGCAGTTAAAAGCTCATGGTGAAGTTTTTTTGATCTTAGAGGTCTTTCCCAAACGTACTGATCCTGTGATTTTATTATATACTACTCTCTAAAACAGTTTCAGCTAAATATGTGATATTTATAAAAAGAAGCATGGCCTTCAAACAAGATGTTCAGATGCTCCATTCCTAGAAGTGTTTAAAGCCAGGTTGGATGGGCTCCTGAGCAATCTAATCTAATGTGTTGAATCCCTGCCCATGCCAGGGCCACTGGAACTGGGTAACACCTAAGGTCCCTTCCAACCCAAACCATTTTATGATTACTCTACATCCAAATCAGCTTTCTGACAGCAGGCATTTTTTAAACTTTTGTTCTGCCTCATTTCTCACCTGTGCAGCAACAGTATGGGAGCGGGTGGGGAACAGCTTGGTAACACAGGCAGTGTTAAACCCAGCTTCTGACAAACCAAAGGCAGCCCGCAGACCTGCTCCTCCTGCACCCACAACAACTGCATCAAACTCATGGTCCACTACTGGGTATTGTGTAGAGATCTGGAAAAATAAATCACTTTGTTATGATCAAAATAGTTCAAGGTAAGTCAAAAAAGTTTCATAAAAACACAAGCAGGATAGGTATAATGTTGTTAACAAAGTTTTGCAGCAATTGCCACATCTGAAATACCCCTTTGCTTGGAAACTGTCATTAAAAGAGCCGCACACTTCAGCACCTCAGTCTCACAAAGCACCTGAACACAGTGCTCCAGTAAAAGCCTCAAAGCCTCACGCCTGTGAAGCATTAAGTGCTTGACTGAATCACAACACAAGCAGCACACACGTACCGAGTCAGACACCTTGGTGGAGGCGTTTTTCTTCCCATACACTGTGAAGTGCAAGGTCCGTGCAGGAGCCTGGCACGCTGCTGGCCACTACGGAGAGAAGCCAAGACAACGTTATGGAACAAATGTTTCCACAGGACAGACTTACAGCACTCCCAGCTAGGCCACATTTGCAACAAATCTGCACTCACCACTGGTAGCACACACACAAGAGTATTCATGGATTTTAGCGCTACCTGTACTGAAGTTCTGGCTTTCCTATAATCATGCTATACAATCAAGAAAAGGTTTGACTGATGAGAGAATAGCCTGCAGTTAACACGGTGTTCCAGACTATCCATTATGGACTCCAGCAACAGTGACCAGCCTCTCAGACCTGCCTGAGGCTGCATCAACAGAATAATATTTCTGTAATTAATGCTGAAGTACTCTTTCAGTTCTTTCATAATTAAGCAAAGACGAAGCTTTGCGGGAACCATGGGAAGTAATGGAAAATTATTCTCCTGTCAACTAATCCTCAGAATTTGAATTATTTCAGGTGGTCATAGTACTGAAAATTCAAAAAGGCTGTAGGGAATGCTCTTCCAGCTGACTGTTGCTTCAAAAGTCAGATATTTCTCTTATTCTTTATGAAATTAGTGACCAATTTAGAACCATTTATTAATACATAAACTTAGCACAAGGATGCAAGTTTTACCCTTCTGGATGTCACTTCCTACCCCCTGACCTGCTCAAAACCAAACCAAACCAACAAACACCACACCCAAACCTACTGAGTATGCAGTCTTTGCTTTGATAAGAATTAGTCTCCACCTCTCCAAGGTACTGGAATCTGGTATTCCTTCTTCACACAGTTCAAAAAACAAGCCTAACTCAGCATGTATGATTACTGTGAGCAGCAACACACAGCCACATCAGGGACCTGTCCAGTGACATCAGCACTTCCCTATTTGAAATATAACCTAAAATGCACTGGAGTGATATCTGCAGCTGTTACACTCATGGTCCCCACTCTACAATATGCTAACAAGTGGCTCTTCCCTCCCCAAATGTCCACCTCTTCCAGAATCTCTGAAGTGAACTCCAGGACACTTTCCTCAACCTAGTTTTATCATTTCTCAGACCAACTTCCTCAAAGTTATCTTCTTGCATAACAGCAAATCTACTGCGTCATCACATTTGCTATCTCTGGTTTCTGCAACCGCCTGGGAAGGAGATCAGTTCCTATGACCTATTCACAAGGAGCTCCACCAGTACTCTGCTCCAGGCAGCTGCTCTCTCCCTGTTCCACACTGCTGAGTTACCAGGCTTTTCAAACAAAAACCCACAAAGCAGAAAAAGATGTCACACTACGTCTGAAGGAAACACTGACTGCAGTAATCCTGATTTTTTTATGCCATCAGGAAGATCATGGCCTTTTTAGAACCAAAGGTTCAATCAAGGCCAGCTCACTGCCACTTAAAATATGGAGACACTTTTTAAAGCTTTCCCTCTCTCTGCAGTTGTCTTTTCTGCACTTGCTTTGTAACACAAGTATAATTACAGCCCACTTTTGTAATCCCAAGCTTGTTACAGGCATGCAGGATGAGAACAGTAGGAAGAAACTGAAAACTCCCACCTGACCATGGAGAAGAAGAAGCCTTCATGCACAATTTACATTTCCTAACACAAACCTGCCAGACTCCTCAGCAGCCCTTTCTGGGCATAATCACCAGCCCATTTCAAGCAACTCAGATATACAGTGAGTATACTCAGTGGCAACTATACTTCCCACACACGTCCAGAATCACAGAATGCAAAGGCTGGAAAAGGTCTCTGAGACCATTGAGTCCAACCAATGACCAGACAGCAGCATGTAAACGAGACCATGGCACTAAGTGTCACATTCAGCCTTTCCTCAAACACTTCCAGGAATGGTAACTCCACCACCATCCTGGGCAGCCCATTTCAATGTCCAGCCACCCTAGCTGTGAAAAAATTCTTCCTGATGGCCAACCTGAACGTCTCCTGGTGCAGCTTGAGGCCATTTCCTCCCTTCCTGTCACCTCTGCCCAGGCAGTTGTAGGGAGTGATAAACCCTATAAGCCCCCCTAAACCTCCTCCCATCTTCCAGGCTTAACACCCTCGGCTCCCTCAGCAGCTCCTCACAGGACTCGTGCTCAGAGCCTTCACCAGCTTCACTGCCCTTCTCCGGACTCGCTCCAGCACCTCAATGCCCTTCCTAAACTGAGAAGCTCCGAACTGAACACAGCACTCGAGGTCTGGCCTCAGCAGGGCCGAGTACAGGAGGAACACAATCACTTCCCTGGTCTTCTTGTGCTCATACAGAATATGTCTCCGGCGAGCTTTCCATGCCGGAGCTCGGGCCGCACCTGCCAGGCTCCCGCAGGCCTTTCCCAGCACGTCCCATTCCCGCTGCCTCCCTCAAAACCCCGTCAGGGCCTCAGGCTACGGCGCTCGCTTCCCAAGCCGGGAGGCGCGGCCCAGCCATGCCCACAGCCACCTACTCCCAGGAACCTGCCTGCCCCGGGGACACGAAATGCGGGGTCGGTGCCGCTCCAAAATAGCACTGAACCTGCCGGGGGTGGGAAGATCACCGGGCGAGTCAAGGTCACGGAGGAGACAGCGGAGCCAGGCCGCCGCCGGCGGGAAAATAGGACAGGTATAAGGCCAAGGACAGCGACAAGGACATGGACAGGGACAAAGGCATGGACAGAAGCAAGGACTGAGAAAAGGGCAGGGACAAGGACTCACCGCCCGGGAAGCCGCGGCCGGGCGCAGCCAGCGCTTCGCCAGCCCCCGCGCAGCCGCCGCCGCCATCACGCACCGCCGACTCGGTGTGGGGAGGGGGGAGCGGGCGTGAAGGGCGCACGCGCGGGGCTCGGCGGGACAGACCAACAGTGCCGCGAGGGGGAGCCCCGCAGAGCGATCCCACCCCGCCCAAGAGCTGTGTGATGGAAGATTAAAAAACAGCTCCTGTTTCGAGCGTAAAGAACGTTTTTTAAAAATCGAAAACTAGAATTATGTTACTGCAGTTAGTTCTCCCTGGTGATCAACAATACTGTAAGATTCAGCCTCTTTGTCTCTCTGACAGTGCCTGAAAGTTTGCGTAATAAACAGGCCAGAATCATGTTTTGAAGTTGTGGGAAAGACCATTTCGTAGACACGAGATTCGGACAGAAGGGTGAAGGAAAGACTGTATGTGCTGTCCCTCTAGGACAGAAAGCACGCTCGGCAGCGCCAGACGGCGGAATTCAGAGGCTGCTCACGGCCGCCTCTCGCCCCGGCGTTAATGGAATAAAAAGGGCCCGGCAGGGGCGGGGACGGACGTCCGGCAGCGCGCCAGGCTCGGGCCAGCCCTGTTGTTGTCCACCCCCTTTTTCTCCCGGCTGATGGGCCAGGCCGGGAGGGGGCGGGGCCGACAGGTGAGTGGCAGTGCCAGGGGCTCGCGCGCTCCCGGGCTCCTTTGTGGGGGGTCCCGCCGTGGGGGGAGCGGGACGGGGACGGGAATGGGAGCGGGAATGGGGAATGGGAACGGGAACAATGGGGAATGGCAGACCGTGTCGCGGCTGGGGCTGCCACTCACGGCGCGGCCAAGCCCCCAAGTGTCGGGGCCGCCGTTCGAGGGGCTGGGGCAGAATTCCCAGTCCCCCAGCGGGAGGAGGAGGAGGTGGCGGCAGGAGCGGCCCCGGCCCCTCTGCGCGCTGCTGAGGCCGCGTCTTCCCTCTGTGCATCGCAGGTGCCTTCATGAATAACTTAAATGACCCTCCCAACTGGAACATCCTGCCCAATCGGCGCGATCCCGGCGGTGACGGCAGCCGCTGGAATTACGCCCTGCTGGTGCCCATGCTGGGCCTGGCCGCCTTCCGTGAGTAGCGCAGAAATCCCGGCCCCAGGGGCTCCTGGGCACGGCCCCGCCTGGGCACGGCCCCTCCTTGTTTATAGCGCTGTAAACCACCAGCGCTGTGGGTATCCCTAAGGGAAAGACCACTTTTCACACTGTTAAAAACGCGTATTTTGTGATTGACTTTTCGCAAATATTAAAATGAATATTATATGCGTTGTATTAGATAGTAACGCTGTATTAATTCTCTTAAGTAGTGTGTTAAATATAGTTTTAGGTGATAAAAAAATGTTAAAATAGAAACGATGCTATTCAGGATACTTTTTTAAAGAAAGGACTCGCAGCGAGATAGCAGCCACAGGACGCCTAAATCTTTGAGAGTAAAAGAATTCATTGCCCTCTTATCAGAAGAAACGAACTTCTTCCTGCCTCGAAGGCGCTGTCAGGATTCAGAGGAAGAAGCTGACGATGACCAGACAGAATCCTGTGTTTGAATGGAATTTATGCATCATGTGTGATGTGTATGAATATGCTAACAGGCTATTGTTTTTAAGGGTTAATCCTCTGTTAATGTGGATCCTGATCCTCTGGTCCTTTTTCAGGCTTGTGATGCCCAGAAAAAGGTACCCAGATGCCCATAACTCTTTGTCTCTATTGTCTCATATTGTCCTAATTCAAATTGTCCAAATTATTATTACTCTAATTGTATTACTATTTTTAAAATCATTTTATTACTTTTAGAATTTTAAAAACAAGTGATTGGCTTTTTTCACAACACACAGAGATGAATCTGTATTTATTAAGCTCCAATATCCAAAGCTCCCTCAAGAAAAATGGACACAGGATGTGCTGGAGAGCCCAGAGGTAACAACGCCAGATGTTGCTGCTGTATTTATTTACTGGGCTAGAAAGTTCTCCATGCAGTATCCGCATCAAAAACCTCCAGTTTGTTTCTCCATGACTTTATTTTCCTTCTCTAATCTAAGTAGTGCCAGTGGAGACAATAAAAGAGTAGAGGTATTTTATTTCAGAGAAAGCATGATCATTTAAAATGACTCACTGTGAAATAGGGACCACAGAAATACATTTTGTGGGGACATGTAAATAGAAGTGAAGGGCAGGAGAGAAAGTCTTTTTACCACTTAGTAGCTTCATTTCAGGCATTGCTAATTAATCATACCCCTCACTGTTACATTTTGTACTTGCATCTGAAATATTATTTATGTGTGATAGGGTGGATCTGGACCAGAGAATGTCAGAAAGAAATAGAAAAAGAGAAAGAAGAGTACTACAGGAAAGAGTCAGCTTTACAAAAAGACCTGGAAGGCAAATACCGGGATATAATCACAGAGAACCGCCGCGCTGTGGCTCACCTGGAGGTGGAGCTGGAGAAGGAACGCAACAGGACCCTGAGCTACCGGGAAGCGCTCGTGTCTCAGAGCCGCAAACTGGTGGAAGAGAGGAGGCTCCTAGAGCAGGAGCAGGAGAAGTTGGAGAGAGAAAAACAAGTCTTTTTGCACTCTGGAGCAGAAGGTTCCTTGTACCAGAGTTGCCTGGCAAAGGAGGAAGAGTGGCAGCAGAGAGCCAATATTTTACTAAAAGAATTTGAAGAGGGACTGAAGGAAAGACAGGACATCTACTGTAGTCTTGTAGTACCCAGAAGTCAGAGACTAGAAATAGAGAAAAATCTGCTAGTTAAAGCAGCAACTAATCCTGTTGCCGTGGCTTTGCATGTGGAGAGTGGCTTACAAGATATTTTCAAACATGATAACTACTGTGGCAATGTGCTGAACAGAACCAGAAGTCAAAATGGAAAGCTGATGTGGCTGTATCTGAGATACTGGGAACTAGCTGTTGAGCTGCAGAAATACAAGAGGGTAGAAAAGGCCATGCTAGGAAAACGCTAAGTAGGGGAAGCAGAGGGATTCCATGTGATCCCCATGCATGGTAGGGACAATCACAGTTGTAGTCTGAAGCTGTTAAACTCTTCTGCTGTGTTGCCGTCTCTCCTCCTTAGACTTGTGTTTGCATGGGACGTGTGCTGTGCTGTGCCTTTCCTCTCACTAGCAGCAGATGCTCTGGCGAGCTGTGCATGCTCCTGAACTCCCTGAGAGTGTGTGTGTTGCAGTACAGGGATTTGCCAACTCCCCAGGTGTCAGAAGCAGCAAAACAGAACTCAGATTAGAGGGATTTGCCTCGTTGATGGTCGCACTCCAGCAGCAGAGAATGGTCATTGGTATCCCCCAGGTGTGGTAGCATGTTGTGCTCCTTATCTCTGACATTTTACATGGTGTCTCAACACTGTCTTTTTTTATTACTATTATTTTTTAAAAATGTGTTTAAGCAAGACTGATTTTGAGGCAGGTGTTTGGGAGAGATGGTGCTGGAGCCAGCTGCTTGACACGTAAATCTTTCATGTCTGTGTGTTGAAATATATAAATATATATGTATCTATAAATACATACATATATATATACACATATATGTGTGTGAATGTGTGTGAGTATGTAAGTGTATGTGAAAGTATTCTGAGGGTGGAATAGATTGATCCTGTTTCAGAATAGTCAGTCTTGCATTGTCTTCCAGCTTCATATACAAATAGTGCTTTATGAATGAAACATCCAAAAGATGCTAGTTCAAATAACACATAAAGAAACAGATTGATGTTTTATTGGCACTTGGGATTCATTATCAAATTCTAGGGAATATGTAAACTGGAAGTTGTATTTTCATGTATTGGATATACCTTAAGAATACTTCTTTTTTTCCTCAGTCAAGGTTTTAGTTGTAACCCAACAATGTGCCACCATTATGGATGTCCCCATGCTGCTGCTTCTGCCTCTCAGGGCACTGGCTGCCTCCTGGGTTGCTTGCAAGAACCTCCTTGCACCTGGCTGTGTTCCTTGGATGGGTCCTGTTTGTTATTTGCAGATGGGAACATAAATGCAGCCTGCATTGGTAGCCACTGCTGTCTCTCCACCTGTCTCCCCTCTCCCAGAACTGAAGTACATACCCTTTTCTGCAGCTCTGGAATTTTGTGCTTGTGGTTCACCACTTTACATACACGTGGCCATGAAAGCCTACAGATATACAAGCTTTGTGAGCTTTTAAGAAAGGGAGCTTTTTAATTTAGCTAGTAAAAAATATATATATTTGGTAAGAAATAAAATAATGAGTGGAATAATAAATAAAGAATAAACATCCAGATTAAAAAATCCAACAACAAACAAAACTTAAAAATCCAGTGCATTTCAATTTCTTAGAACTTTGAGTATGCTTTGGGTCCTTTAGCAGTAGGAGCCACCTTTTTTCAAACATGCTGTGTATTTAAAATTGTAAGAACTTTTTTCTTCCCTCTTTCTAATCCAGCCTTAGACCTCAAAGGGGCAGTGTTTACCCTTGTGTTTATAACATCTATTCTTCTCTGTTACTTGACTTTGATTAGTGCTGGTAGGTTGTCAGCTCATTAATTAGCAGTTTATTATTTACTGAGGGCTGGACTTGACAAATGTGTTTGCACTAGGCAATCATGTAGAACCATGGCTTGGAAGCAATCCAAGCTAAGTGAATGCCCATCTTCCTGCAGATGTGGGGGTTTTCTCCTGGTTTCATTTTAGTCTGAGCACAGAAGACAGCAGATAAATCTTTTGAAACAATATGCACAACTTAATCCAGTTCCTAAGTAGAAATACCTAACATGAAACAAAATTCCTGAGCAGAATAGATGATTCCCAACTACTCAGTTTTCCAGTTGAGGTTTTGCTCACCTTGATAGTACTAATTGTACTGTTGTGTTGACTTATTAATCCTTTCTCCATGATGATTTTTTTAATGAAGTGGACAGACTTGGAGGAAAAAAGAGAGATCACAAACACCAGAATGTTTTTGGCCACAGTTTGTCAGGGTGCCAAGCATATTTGGGTTGGGAGATGAGAATACAACTGAGTTGCTAATCATGTGTGATGCCCTGAGCTGAGCTGCTGCAGCTGGACACAGGCACACAGTCTGATTGCTCAGGAGAACAAACTAGTTTGGATAACAGCCTGTGTGTAATTCCTGCAGGATGTGGAAAGTGACTGTCCAGCTGTGGCACACTTTGCATGTTCCTGCAGGCAGTTGAGCTGCTCAGCTAACTAAGAGCAGACAGTGAATCAGTGCCAGTGTATTTGAGATTGATGCCTTGAATTTGTGTAAGTTAGCCTTAAAAGATCAAAGGTTTTGTGCTTTTTCATTTTTTCATAGTTTGTTATGCATATCACTCAAAATGTTTAAAGAAAATGTAATCAAGGGTAAAATACTGGTTTTTCAGTATGAATATGTACATTTAAGCCTTACACGAATGTACAGGGCTGGATGCAATGTAGTAAAGGTTTGGTATTCTCTTTCTCTTTTTTAGACGTGTCATTTTTTTGTACAGCTAATTGAACTATTGTTCATGGACGCTTTGAAGATCATTGTCTCAAGACAGAAGGGTTATTTCAGAAAGCTTTTTAAAAGTGTATGACTGATTTAGAATCACTGGTCTTGTTAGTTTCTTCCAAAACTCATGTTTATGGAAATGCAATTTATTTTTGAAACGTTCCCCCTTTGTAGGTTGTTATTCTGAAAATTCTAATGTAAGTTTTGTCTTGCCCAGCACTTGTTCTGAATCACTTAATAGTTTGGAACTGCCCATATGCATATGTAGAATGCAAGAATAAATTGTTTTCAAAGTATTTAATGAACTTATTTTTATTATAAAATTGTCACTCAGCTATTAACAATAACAATTAATAAAAAACTTTAAATATTTCTGTACTGTTTTATAACTTGGGCAAGGTGGGTGGGAGAACTGGAATTTGCTACTTTATTCAGATTTTCCAAATTGTAAATTGTTTTAATTGGCATGTAAAAAGTTTTGGTCTTGGTGCTGAGAAAAGAATATAAGTTTTTTTCTTAGGAAAGAACACTGTTAAACAGGTAAGTGCTGAGCATTAACTAAAGATGTGGGGTTAAAGGTGACCATCCCTCTGAAAGACTGGGGACATTCCATCAACAGAATATTGTGTAGGATATTCTGCCCTCCTCCAGAACCCCTCAGATATCTCATTCTGCATGTCAGCTGCTTTTCATTTCCCTCATTTTCCTGCTCTCTGTGAAGAACTGCAATCCAGCTGCTCTAGGACAGCGTTCAGACACTCTGGAAAATCCTTGTTCTGTAATAAAGGATCCTCAGTTTATTTGTATTTGACACAATCCTTCACCATCCTCTGGCTCTATAAAGCTTGGGTTTGAGCACTCCTGTGCGAGGATGAAAAAACTGAGTGTTCCTCTGTGGAGGATACAAGGCAGAAACAGTGGTCAAGGGTTCAGGTACTGTGGTGAAATCAAAGATATTTGAATTATTGCTGTGAAAAGAGGACAAAAGTTTATAGTTGCAGTTGTGATGCAGCTGGATATGAAGGCTTTGCTGGTTTGCGTGCCAAGGCCCACATTTATTGGTTATTAATTTAATGCCTGGTCCAGGAGCTTTCCCTGGTCACTGCCTATCAGACAGCAGATGGATCTGCTAAGTAACTCACTGAAATTTGGCATAGCTCAGCAATGAGGCAATGGCCACTTCACAGCAAAACAGCTGAGTGCTGCAACAAAAACTGAAAGTAACCTGAAAGTAAATGTGCTTCTGGAAACAAGGAGTCTGTGGATGGAAGAGTTTGGGGAGAGCTGATGGATTGTGAGATCAGCGATGTCAGCTGTTCACAGTCATGCACCCCAACAGCCCTGTGCTGAGATCACCGGGCTGTCCAGCTGCTGGAAAAATGCCCCTTCACTCTTGTGTTCGTAACAGGTTTGTATTTGTGAGATAGCTCACCTCTAAGCCTACCGCAGTCAGAGCAAAATCCTCGGCTGCTGTGGTTGGTGTTTGTGTCGCTGGATGCTGCTTCCCCCTTGTGGCTGACGGCTCTCCCAGCCAGCAGCCGCATCCTCTGTTCCCACGGCTCCGCTGGAGCAGCGCATCTTCTAATGCTACACCTCGGAGCTCTCTGGCCCAAACACCTCCGGGGGTAATAAAAGAAAGGTGAGCAAAGCCGAGGTGTGCGGTGACCAAAGGAATGAACTTGTCTCCACTGAGCTGGGTGCTGCGGCAGATCTCTGTGCGAAGGAGGCAGGCACAGGGGGTTGGGTATAGTTCAGTAACCTATTAGTACCTCATCGTATATTGCAGCACTGGAAAGGAAAACCGTAACAAACTCGATTAAGGAACGCTGTTCTTTGTTTAATGAAGACACTGCCTCTTGCACAATAAACATAAACTGAAAGTTTCTCAGCATGTTAGATTGCTGAAGGAAACTTCTTGACACCATAAAACCACTCCAGAATGGGATGCATGTAGAAGTCACTGTGTGTGACATCCTACCTCTGCTGTGTTCCCAGTAGTATGGGACAGAGTACCAACTGCTAGTGCTGCCTTATTTCTCCCTTGCACTGATACTTGTTGGCACAAGTTGGAACTTCTCTCCAATCTGTAGAAGTTTACAATCTCATGGGCAGAAATTTAGGCTCCAAAGTCTTTAGGTATTCCTGCTTGAACTTTGGCCTTCAGCAGAGATAGAATTAAGCAGGCCTTGCTGCATGTGCCTGCACTTGATGGCATACGGTTTTGATGGCTTTGACTTTGGGAGGATATTTCTTTACTTTATTT